AGAGATCATATATGCCTAAGACCCTAATTTGCTCAAGTATTTGTTTAAAGTCTTAATTTGAAAGGCCTTGTTGTTGATTGTCCATGATAATGATTGAAAATGAAATAGTGATCTTGAATTATAAAGTATGGCCAATGTGCCAAGAATGATATTGCGTTATGGCCAATGATGTCAATAAAATGAATGACATGTAAAAGAATATGAATTGAGTGGTAAATACTTTTAATAACAAATGCTTTGGGAGTATCGATTATCCACCGAGGAAGGGTAGGTTGGAATAACCTAACCCCGAAACGACACGTGCTGGTGTAGGAGTGATTGAGGGGTAAATCCCCGTGTTAATGTAATGAGACTGTTTCCCCTTATATGGGATGGGATTGGTATGTTGAGATATTTTACCTTAAATGGGATGAGATTATTGCTTTCTAGATGTGATGTAATGTCGACCCACACAGCATTGTGGTGAGATGGCTTAGCCTATCAAGCTGAAATCGGACGTCATGCCGCACATATGGTGGTATTGTGAGTATATGTCTCGGGGTGAGACGGCTTAACCGGTCGGGCTGAGATCGGACTCCGTGCTAAAACATGGTGGTATATCAGTTCTAAAGATCACCCAACTTAAATTACCGAAACCTACTTGAAATTTACGTTTCCCCTAATGTGACACTTTGATACTGTTTGAGTCTCTTATTGATATCATGTTTCATTCTCTGTTTTCTGTTGCTCGTTCTATTGAGAGGGTGTTTAGTTTTACATACTAGTACTATTCCATATGCACTAACATCCATTTTACCGGGGGCGCTGCATCTTTAATGGATGTAGGTGGTTTCATAGCAGGTGGTATTGATCAGTGATAGCAGCACACCCTCTCCTCGGCTGATTTGGTAAGCCCCACTTCATTTCGGGCTCATGTATCTTCTATCCTTTGTACATAGCGTTTTGAGGTATAGCTGGGGCCTTATTGCCGGCATTGTCATAGCACTATTTTTTTCCTGTTAGAGGCTCCGTAAACATAGTGTGGGCTATGTCTATTTTGGAAAATTTAAAAATAAAAATGTTGTAATTGTATCATCTGTCCCACTTTAACTATGATTGCACAATGTACTGTTTTGAACATTTGTTAAGGACATAACTAATGGAAATGAAATGGTGTTGTTCACATGACTTCTTACTCACTAATTAGTGAAATGCATTCATCACTTTATTTGTGGGTGAGTTGGGTAGACGGCACTATGCAGGCTTGCTCGACCGGGGTAACTCTGTTGAGCGATGGTCACGCTCCCCGAGGTCGGGGCGTGACACCTTGTCATTTAATGGTCTTATTTCTGCTAATGAAGCTTCCTTCGTAGTATGTTTTCCGTTGCTGCCTCGTTAAAAACCTTTCCAAAAAAACCCAATTAGGACAAAAATTGAACGAAGGGAAAAAAAGTGCAGCACATACTTTCAGTATAAGCGGTGCTCATCAGCAATAGTATCTTTTGAGGTGTGCCACATTCCAGTTACTCGGCAACTTTACTCCGTCTTGATTTTCCAATTCGTATGATCCTTTCCCGGTGACAGCTGAAACCTGGTATGGGCCTTCCCACGTTGGACCTAGTTTTCCTTTGTTGAGCTCCCGGGTGTTTTGAGTCTCCTACTTTGAAATAATGGAGGTTGGCTCTTCAATTGTAATATCTTTCCATTCTCTATTTTTAGGCCGCCATCCTTATATGTGCCAAGTCCCTACGTTCGTCGAGCAGCTCCAATCTGGCTAATAATGATTCATTATTCATTTCTTCATCCACCCGGAAGTATCGCAGGGTAGGTTCTCCTACTTCCACCAGGGTCAAAGCTTCTGCTCCGTATACGAGAGAGAAAGGAGTTTCCCCATGATTGATTTGGCCGTTGTTCGATACGCCTATAGTACTCCCGGCAGCTCTTCGGGCCATTTGGCTTTGGTTGCTTCCAATCTCTTTTTGAGATTTTGGATAATCACCTTGTTTGTTGATTCTACTTGACCTTAACGCTCGGGTGATAAGGTAATTATGTGATTCATTTGATTTTCAGGTCTTCAAGGATCTTTGGGACCTTTGAACCTATAAATTGTGGCCCGTTATCGCAGGCTATCTCTTTTGGTATTCCGAACCTGCGAATTATATTTTCCCACAGGAAATCAACTACTTTGCGCTCAACGATTTTCTGGTAAGGACCTGCTTCAACCCAATTAGAAAAGTAATTAGTTAAAATCAAGAGAAATCTTACCTTAACGGGAGCTGGCGGCAGCAGACTGACTATATCTATCCCCCATTTCATGAATGGCCAGGGCAACAAAATCGAGTGCAGTTACTCTGTCGGTTGATGTACCAACCGTGCGTGGTGTTGACATTTATCGCATTACTGAACATAAGCCTTAACATCTTGTTCCATTTGGGGCCAGTAGTACCTGCCCTAATTAACTTTAATACTAAGGAATTTGTGCACGAGTGATTTCCATAGATCCCTTTGTGGACTTCTCTCATGACGTAGTTAGCTTTTGATGCTCCCAAACATCGGGCCAATGGGCCTTGGAAAGATCTTCTATTCAATTGACCTCCCTTGAAGTTGTATCGAGCTGATTTAGTGTGCAGCACTCGAGATACCTTGGGATCTTCAGGTAGCTTTCCATGCTCGAGATAGTCAATGATCTCATTTCTCCAGTCCCGGACCAAATTGGTCATGTTTCTTCATAATAGTTGTCTGCGTCCAATACCGAATGCATAAGTTGCATGACCATACCGGAGTCTGATCCCTTCATTTTTGTGGACGATCCTAGATTGGCTAGTGCGTCTGCTTCTGCGTTTTCTTCCCTTAGGATGTGGGTAATTGACCATTCCCTGAACCGTGCGAGCAGAACCTGGACTTTCACTACATAATGTTGCATGCATTCCTCTTTGGCTTCGAGATCCCGTAAATTTACTACCAATTGGGAATCACACTTGATTTTTATGACCTCGGTGACCAGTCCACGGGCCAGCTCAAGTTCTACAATCAAAGCTTCATACTCGACTTCATTGTTAGTCATAGGAACAATTTCTATGGCCTGCCTTAGGGTTTCTCCCGAAGGAATGATTAGTATTACGCCGAGACCGAACCATTTCACATTGGAAGCTTCATCCATAAACAAGGTCCAAACTACTGACGTCGATTCCGACACCATCACTACTTCTTTGGTAGCCAAAGGTAGCAGTCCCGAACTGAAATCGGCCATAAATTCGGCCAAAACTTGTGACTTAATCACGGTTCTAGGTTTATACTCTATGTCAAATTCACTCATTTGGACTGTCCACTTGGCCAGTCAACCTGAAAGTTCAGATTTGTGAAGGATATTCCACAGGGGAAAGATTGTCACCATGGCTATTAGATAACATTGGAAATAAGGCCTAAGCATCCGAACGGCGACCACGAGACCTAAGGCCAAATTTTTCAGATGTGGGTAGAGCGTTTCCGCTCCCGTTAAAATTTTACTAACATAATAGATAGAAGATTGAGTACATTCATCCTCACAGACTAAAACGACACTTACCGCTACCTCTGTGACCGCTAAGTAAATCAGTAATTGTTCGCCTTCCTCCGATTTTGATAATAATGGAGGGCTTGACAAATACCTTTTCAATTCCTTCAGAGCCTACTAGCATTCCGGAGTCCATTCGAAGTTTTTTTTCTTTTTGATGAGTGAAAATAAGTGATGACATTTTTTCGAAGACCGGCAAATGAATCTTCTTAAAGCGGCCAGTCTTCCTGTCAAATTTTGAACTTCTTTTACGTTCGATAGATGGTCAGGGATGTCTTCAATTGCTTTAATTTTATTAGGATTGACTTCGACCCCTCTTTGCAACAACAGGAACCCGAATAACTTACCGGACCTGACTTGAATGCACACTTTTCGGGGTTAAGCTTCATGTGGTGCTTTGTTAGGATGTCAAAGGTTTCTTGCAGGTGTTTAAGATGATCACCTGCATTCAAAGACTTAACCAGAATATCATCTATGTATACTTCCATCCTTATTTGTTTCTCAAACATTTTGTTTACAAGCCTCTGATAAGTAGTTTCGGCGTTCTTTAGCCTGAAAGGCATCACATTATAGCAATATGTCCGAAGTTCGTTATGAATGAAGTATTTTCCTAATCCTCCGTGTTCATCTTGATTTGGTTATACCCGGAGTAAGCATCAAGGAAACTCATTAACTCGTGCCCGGTTGTCGCATCAATTATTTGATCAATGTTTGGAAATGGGAAAGATTCTTTAGGGCATGTCTTATTTAGATCCTTATAGTCTACATACATATGAAATTTATTATTCTTTTTAGGAACTACTACTACGTTAGCTAGCAAATCAGGATACTTTATCTCCCAGATTGAACCGATGTTAAGCAAACGAGTTACCTTTTCTTTGACGAATTTGTTTCTCACCTCATCAATAGGGCATTTTTCTGCCTCACCGGAGGGATGTTAGGATCCAGACTTAAGTTATGCATGGACACTTCTGGTGGGATACCTATCATATTTGCATGCGACCATGCAAAACAGTCAATGTTAAATTTAAGAAATTCTATGAATCCTGACCTGAGCTCGGGGTTTAGTCTTGTCCCCAAGTGGAAATTCCCCTCCAAGAACTTTTCTAACAACGCGGCTTGCTCAAATTCTTCCACTGTGGACTTTGTTGCATCCGTTTATTCTGGTACCTGGAAATACCTTAGTACCTGAAAGGATTCTGACGACTCCTCCCCCTAGTTGACTTTGTTCGGCTCGGGAGCAGGCGTCGGTTCCTGTAATTGCTATGTTGCATGCTCCTTACCTTTGCTACTGGAAACTGAGATCATGTTTATCTCCCTTGCCTCTTTTTGATCTCCTCTTATTTGTTTAATTCCCTCAGGAGTTGAGAATTTTAGTAGTTGATGATATGTTGATGGCACAACCTTCATTTCGTGTAACCATGGTCTCCTAAGGATAATATTGTATCCCATATCACCATATACTACTTCAAAAAGATCGGTATTCATCACCCCTTTGGCATTCGTAGGAAACAGAATTTCTCCTAGGGTTGTCACGCTTGCCAAATTGAACCTGGCAAGGTGCTTTGTGGTCGAAATGATACTTCCAGTCAGCTTGAAAGATCAAGCACTCTCCATTGGAAAATATTGGCTGAACTTCCTGGGTCCACCAAAACACGTTTAATTTTAAAATCTAAAACATTAAGAGAGATTACCAGGGCATCGTTGTGTGGTAGTAAGAGTCCATCTCTATCCTCCTCCGTGAAGGTAATGTCATTATCAGCGACTTCCCAAAGTCTCTTGCTATGGGTCACTGATACCTTCATCTTTTTCGCTGCCGAGAAATTTACACCATTAATCTTATTCCCCCAGAAAATAATGTTGATCATCAGACGAGGGGGATCTTCTCCCGCTTTCGAGGGTTTCGTGTTATCCCGGTTGCGGCTGTAGTTGTTCTTAGCCCGATCACTTAAGAATTCTCTGAGATGGTCGCTTTTTAGTAATGTCGCCACCTCCACGTGCAAATGTCGGCAGACCCCAGTCCAGTGGCCGATGGTCCCATGGTACTCGCTCTATAAATTAGGATCCCCTGGCTGGGATCGGATCTCATGGGCATCGGGAACCGTTCTTCCTTAATGTTCCTCACAGCTGACACTAGTTCTACTACGCTGAGGTTGAAGTTGTATTCGGATTACCTGGGGTAGGAGGAGTCTCGGGAGCCCGATTTCTACTGCAATGATCTGGTATTCCAGTCGCGATCAGCTGTCCTATTGGTAGCGAATCTATCTGTGTTGCAACCAAACACACACGCAAGTATACATGGTCGTCAAGTAATAAAGTGACTCGAAAATCGGATGTCGAACCCACAGAGACTTAGATCAATTTTTAACTAAGCAAACTAAAATTAGTTAATTGTCCAAGGTAATCCATAGTGATGTTTTTCTATTAATCTACTATTGCAAAAATTAAACAAGTAACAACTAATTTAACAAGAATGCAAATGTGTATGATGAGATCTTAATTCAGAGGAGATGAAGATTCCAGGGTTGAGGTTGGTTTATTAATCCTATTAAGTTCACTAATCACACTCGTCAATTCATATTATCTATGATTGCTAATTAACCGGATCGTTTATATGAATAGCATGTTCCCACAATACTACTCGCACAATATATCAATCCTATATTCCTATGGTATTGAGTTTATCATGAACGAATATAATATGGTGTTCAATTAAGCAAGAATGTTAAGAATATTCCTATCATAACCGTGAAATCGTTCCCCGAGCCATGGGTTCAGAAAAAAGCTCTCTTTAATTCTACTCTAATCTAAACATGGCTTTCCCAAGCATAACATGGATAGTAGGGTGAGTTGGTAGCTACAACAATTCACAAGTTAAAACTAGATTTAAAGAAACAATAATAAGATGATAATCCGAATTAACAGAGATATAATTAATAAAAGTTAATAATCATGTCAACCACAACCATAGAAACTTGAGTGCTTAGCCACTCATGTTCATAGCAACAATTTTCCAAGTATTATGCATAACAAATTACAAAGAAACGATGAAGGAATCAAGAACTCGATGATTTTCTCCTCCAAGAATGTTCCCAACGTCTTCTCCCCTTCAAAAGTCATGTTCCTCCTTCACAAGTCACATCCCCCCTTTACAAAAGTGAGTTTAAAGACTATTTATATGGGATAGGGTTAGAATGGGGTGAAATAATACAATCCCACTTCGAAACAACCTTTTTAGGTTAGCTCGTTCACTCTCTCGTGCGCACGTGAGAGTGAACGAGCAAAGTTCTTCTCTTTTTCTTTTTCTTCAAGGTCTCTCATGAACTTCCATGCCTTTTTGCTATACTTCAATGTTTTGTTTTCAAGCTTTTCCTCAATAGCTCGTTCACTCTCTCGTGTGCGCGCGAGAGTGAACGAGCAAAGTCCTTCTTTTGTCTTTTGGTCACGAATCAACTTCTTTTGCTCACATTTCGTCCAACTTGCTCCTACACATAATGACTTTGTTCCTACACATAACCTACCGTAACCACACAAGTTATGAGATGAATTTACACTGAAAACTATGCATTTTTGGCCGTTTATCAACGCCCCACACTTAAATTTTATAACAACATGGCCTTTTTAAACCACTCTCATAATTCATCATACCAAGAATATTTAAAATAGACTAAGAACAATAGTGTAACATCCTCACCTCAAGATTTGACTCACAAGCACCACGCATTTTTCATTACCCGCTCACTTACTCTAATATAGAGGTCAACGACACTACCTTTCCTTCATGAATCAAGTGCCCTCACACAACAAAAGAGAGTAGTTCCACACACATAAAATTCAAGAACAATTAGGAACTCAATATAGAAAGAATTCACTCACTCTCAGAAACAACATTCATATGCCACAAAAGATGAACCATGGGCTTTCCCATAGTGTACTACTCTACTAATCGGGCTCATTTAGTCAAGGATCAATTAGGACTTTATTTGGTTGTAATGTAGGCTGCGGGATGGGTATGATATATTTAGATATACGAGTGACTACACCTCCCAAAATACTTTAATACATACACTTTAACATTTAAAACCCCACACTTATGTCAAATCATAACTCCACCTTCACATCAATGCATATTAACTCCATACTTCTTTAAGCACAACTACATCAAGAGTCACCACTATCAAGGAATATTTTTCACATAATACAACTACTTTTTTTTTCAATTCAAGTGGCTCTTACTTTTTCAAAATAGTGCACATTTCTCCTTATTTCATTAGTTCCACTAAAAAGCCAAACCAACCACCCCACACTTTAACTTTTCCAAAGTTCATTACAATTCAAGTGCTCATGAGAGGTGAAAAGGTTCAAAATAAATGGTTAATTCAAACAAATGGGTAAGGCTCGTAATGTGGTTGTCAAAGAAATAGGATTACAGACTCAAAGGGTTAACTACGATACATAACAATTAGGCGGGTAAAATATATATATATGGCTCAACAAAGAAACGCCTATATCACTTCCAAGACTGAACAAAACTACTATTTCGCTTTGCAAACACACGGGGCAAGTTCTAGACATCAAATGCAATGCACAGAATGACACACAAATCTCACACACACATGGCACATAACTCACTCAGGATTGAACTCATCAAGACACTCTAGTCAAAGCAGTTAAGCAAAGTAAAGATCATACAATTTAAGATTCTTATACAAGAGTCCAAAACTGAGCCTAAGCGTCACAACCAAAGTACTCATTATTCTCAAGGCATAACAAAGTCAAGAGATATTGCTTCAATTCCAATCACAGCACAATAGCTCCTACTCCTAAAATAAATACATCTAACTACACCCGGTTCAAACAAAACCCTTGGAAAAGAACCGTGGCACAAAGAAAAACCAAGGGGGAATTATTACACAACCTAACAAAAGAAAATGTTTTTGTCTTTTTTCTTTCGACTTAAATCCCTCAAGAAACCTGTCGAATGAGATCCATTTTTGGGAGAAGTCCAATTTTACTACTTTTTCATTTTTGTTTTCGATTTTTCTAAGAAGTTAACATTTTTCTAACACACTACTACTAATTATCTAGAGAAATCCTCTCTCCCCACACTTAAAAGAGCGCAATGTCCCCAATGCACAAATAAACCAAAACACAAATGAGGGTGGACAAGAGACTCCCTGAAAGGCCAAAGGCCGAAGCAATAGCGGCTTACGGGGTACTTAGACTTCCCCCAGGCATGGTCATTTGTTTGGGCACCCCACACTTAGTTCTCACCATCTAGCTCGATTTTGTACTCTTCCAATGGCTTTACTTCCTATGCTTATAATCCTACAAAATAAAAATAGACACTACAAAAATAATTTAATAAAAATAAAAGAAAGCAGTAAAGCTGGGTTGTCTGCCAACAAGCGCTTGATTTAACGTCGCGGCACGACATAGAATCTCGTCTAATCATTGGCAAGTAACACCCTCGACTTCTGACGATCAAAGTCACCTCCATAATAGTGATTTACTCTTTGTTAGTTCACTAAGAACGTTCTCTCGCCACCTAAGACACGCAGCCCAATTGCACCATGTGGAGTGACTCTCACTAACTCAAACGGGCCCGACCATCTCGATTTGAGCTTCCCCGAAAAGAATCTCAACCTCGAATTGAATAAGTGAACCAATTGGCCCGGTTCGAACTCGCGATGATGGATATGCTTATCATGCCAGCGCTTGGTCTTTTCATTATATTACTTGGCATTCTCATACGCGTGCAAGCAAAACTCATCAAGCTTGTTCAATTGCATCAACTGTTTTCTACCTGCTAATTCTGCATCAAAGTTCAGCTTCTTTATCGCCCAATAGGCCTTGTGCTCAAGTTCCACCGGTAAATGGCATGCCTTCCCATAAACCAGCTTGTACGGGGAGGTTCTGATTGGAGTTTTGTAGGCGGTCTGGTATGCCCATAGAGCATCATCAAGTTTTGCAGCCCAATCTTTCCTACTTACACTAACCGTCTTCTCCAGGATCAGCTTTATCTCTCTATATAACACGTCAACTTGTCAACTAGTCTGAGGATGGTAAGTGGTTGCAACCTTATGTTTGACCCTGTATTTTGCTAAGACATTGTCCAATAGCTTATTACAGAAATGGGTGCCCCAATCACTTATCATCACTCACAGGGTGTCGAACCTTGTAAAGATATGTTTTTTCACAAAGTTGACCACAACCTTGGCATCATTGGTAGGAAGAGCAATGGCCTCTACCTACTTCGACACATAATCAACGGCCACCAAAATGTACTTACACCCACTGGACGAGGGAAACAGACCTATAAAATTAATTCCCCACACATCAAAGATTTCAACCTCCATAATACCATGCAATGGCATCTCATGCCTTTTCATAATTGTTCTCGTTCTCTGGCACCTATCACACCTCCTCATGAACTCATGGGCATCTTTAAACACCCTAGGCCAATAGAAACCCGATTGTAACATCTTGGATGCCGTTTTGTTACCCGCATGATGACCACCATAAGGCAACGCATGACAGTCATATAAGATAGCATTTATTTCAGATTCGGGCACACATCTTCTCATTAACTGATCAATACAAGATTTGAACAGAAACGGCTCATCCCATATATATGATCTCACATCTCGCAAGAACTTCTTTTTAGCATGAGGTTCAAAATTAGGTGGCATTTCTCCACTTGCCAAATAGTTTACAAAATCATCATACCATAGCACCTCCCCAGCAGTAATGGCCAACAATTGCTCATCCAGAAATGTTTCATTGATGACATCTCCCTCAGCTACATTTTCTAACCTGGACAAATGATCAGCCACTTGATTCTCTGTTCCTTTACGGTCTCGAATCTCCAAGTCAAATTCATGCAAGAGTAAAACCCAACGGATTAGCCTTGGTTTAGCATCTTTCTTTTCAAACAAATACCTGATGGATGCATGGTCTGTGTAGACGATGACTTTGGTGCCAACCAAATAGGCCCGAAATTTATCGAATGCCCACACTACAACAAGCAACTCCTTTTTTGTCACAGTATAATTTATTTGAGCAGGAGTGAGAGTCTTGCTTGTGTAGTAAATGGAGTGAAATATTTTTCTCCTCTTCTGGCCCAATACGACCCCAATTGCACCATCACTAGTGTCACACATCAGCTCAAATGGCTCTTTCCAGTCAGGAGCCACTATGATTGGTGCACTCACTAACTTTGTTTTCAGCTCCTCGAATGCTTTAAGACAAGCATCATCAAACTTGAACGGCTATACTTCTCTAACAACCTGCACAAAGGAAAGGAAATTTTAGAGAAATCCTTTATAAATCAGCGATAAGAACCTGCATGTCCCAGAAAAATCCTAACTCCTTTCACTAAAATCGGTGGTGGAAACTTTTCAATTGCTTCCACCTTAGCCTTGTCAACTTCCAGTCCATCTTTGGACACCTTGTGCCCCAGCACTATACCTTCACATACCATAAAATGGCACTTTTCCAAATTCAGTACCAGATTAGATTCCTCGCACCGAGCAAGCACTTTAGCAAGATTGGTCAAGAATTCATCAAAAGAAGGACCAAACACAAAAAATTATCCATAAAGACCTCCACAAAATGTTCCACCATATCGGGGAAAATAGCCATCATACACCTTTGAAAAGTTGCAGGTGCATTACATAACCCGAATGGCATTCTATTAAATGCATAAGTGCCATAAGGGCATGTAAAAGTGGTCTTTTCTTAATCTTCCGGGGCAATAGCAATCTGATTATACCCTGAATAGCCATCAAGGAAACAATAGTATTCCTATCCGGCTAACCTTTCAAGCATTTGAGCAATGAAGGGGAGAGGGAAGTGATCTTTACATGTAGCATTATTCAACTTCCTATAATCTATGCATATTAGCCAACCAGTCACCGTCCTTGTTGGGATTAATTCATTTTTTTAATTCACTACAATAGTCATACCCCCTTTTAGGTACACATTGAACAGGGCTTACCTACTTACTGTCGGAGATAGGAAATACTATAACTACATCGAGCCACTTAATCACTTCTTTTCTTACAACGTCTTTAATGATTGGATTCAGGCGGCGTTGATACTCTACGCTAGGCTTGTATCCCTCATCCATGAGTATTGTGTGCATGTAGAATGCAGTGCTAATACCCTTTATGTCAGACATTGTCCAACCAATGGCATGCTTGTTCTCCCTCAGCACCCTTAAGAGCTTTTCTTCCTGCAATTTTGACAAATGAGAAGAAACAATCATAGGTAAAGTGTTAGAACATTCCAAATATGCATAATGAAGATGAAATGGTAAGGGTTTAAGTTCCACTTTTGGGGCCTCCTCAACTGAGGGTTTAGGGGGCGGGCCGATTGTCCTATCCAGAGGCTCAAACTATGATCCTTCTCTAATATATTCACAAGATGCATCCAGAATTTGCAACATCTCATCAACCTCTTCTTCAAGTTCCAAATAATTGAATAACATCAATGCCTTTTCTAGTGCATCTTCTTTAAACGCACTTGGCTCTACGGCTGGTTCATTTATCTCCACCACAGAAATCATGGTCAGGTCCTAGTAATGATGAGGCAACTGAATAGCTCGATATACATTGAAGACTGCTTCTTCATTTTTCACCCTAAGGATCATCTTACCTTCTCGGACTTTGATAATTGCATCTCCAGTGGCCAAAAGAGGTCATCCCAAGATGATAGGAACTAACTCATCAGCCTCATAGTCCAGGATGATAAAATTTGCAGATAAAATAAACTTCCCAATTTGTAGCAAGACGTCCTCAACTACCCCCTTAGGATAAACATAAGATCTATCAGCTAACTGTAGCATCACCGTGGTGGGTCTCGGAGCTCCTAAGCCCAATTGTTTGAACACTGACAACGACATCAGATTGATACTTGCACCCAAATCATACAAGGCTCTACCCACATTAATTTCACCAATGCTCATGGGGATGGTAAAACTACTCGGATCCTTAAGCTTTTGTGGAAGCTTATGTTGAATCTTGGAAGTGCACTTCTCAGTAATTGCGACGGTCTCGAACTCAGTTAACCTCCTTTTGTTTTCAAATATATCCTTAATATATTTTGCATATTTGGGACCTCACGGAGCATGTCCACCAAAGGGATGTTCAAGTGTATCTGTTTCATCATATCTAGGAATTTGTGAAACATGTGGTCATCATTCTTCTTTCTCAATATTTGAGGAAAAGGGGTGGCACCCTCTCTAATATATGCTCAGACTCTGTTTTGTTTCTCTCATCTACCTCAACAGGTTTTGGCACTCATTCTTCTTCGAGCCCAGACTGCTCTTTTTTCTTCTTAGGCACTTCTACCAAATCTCTCCCATTTATTAACGTCACTGCATTGACTTGAAGATTTTTCTCTATATCACTTGGGAGAGCTCCAGCAGGTCTAGTATTCTAATTGTTAGCCATTTGCCCAAACTACCTCTCTAGATTTCTGAACTCTGTGCACAATTGTTGATTCTCAGCCATAACTTTCTGATTTTCTAGCAAGAGATTTTTCATCATGTCAGTCAAACTCTCTTCTGCTTGCTGTGGGGGTTTAGGTGGCTGATTGTAATTAGCTTGAGGCCTGTTATTCTGATTTCCACCCTAAGAGAAGTTAGTATGATTCCTCCAGTTCGGATTGTATGTGTTACCATCTTGAGCATTTTGATTCATCGGCCCTCTAGCTTGTTGCCCCATATAGTAGATGGATTCAGGATTCACGGGGCATATGTCACTTGTGTGACCTTCACCACATAACTCGCAGCAAGTAGACATATGTTTCACATGATACATCTATTGTGCTTGGTGCATTGTCATTTTATTCATTTGATTTGCTAATCTCGCTATATCTTCCCTCATGGCTGAGAAATCATCAAGCTGAATCACACCTGCTGCCTTTTGTTTAAGTGCTCTTCGTGGTTCCCCATCTCCTTGCCAATTATTATCACTAGCAGTGAAATTATTTAGCAGAATTTGGATCTCACTATACGGCTTTTCCTTGCAACTACCCCAACATGCTGAGTCAAGATTCATCTTTGATGCCTCGTCCAACCCATCAACGAAAGTGTGACCTAACACCTCATCAGTCTGACAATGATGTGGGCAGTCTCTGAGTAGCTTCTTGTATCTTTCCCAAGCATGACGAAGAGTCTCTCCATCTCATTGTTGAAACCCAAGAATCTGGCTCCTCAGCGACTTTGTCTTCTTAGTGGGAAAAAACTTGATTAAGAATTTCCTTGCTCGATTATCCCAAGTGTTGATTGACTTTGCAGGCTCCTTTTGCAACCATTCCTTAGCTTCCCCCAGCAATGAAAAGGGAAACAGTGTCAACCTGACATAGTCCTTGGAAATATTCAGATAATTGTAAGTGTCCATAAATTCCAGGAAGTTCTGAATGTGCCTCTGTGGATCTTCATGAGATAGACCCACATACAACCCTGTGGATTGAATCAACTGTACTATGTACTGTTTGAGTTCAAAGTGACCCGTGATATCCAACTTCACAATAGCCTGAGTAATATTAGAAAGATTGGGCCTTGCAGCTTCTATCACCGAACGCTCTTCATTACATGCCATCTCTATTAGTTGTGGTTGAACTACGATGTTCAATTCTCTTTCATTTCTAGTTCTAGCTTCGACTTCCCTCCTCACTCTGTAAAGTGTTCCTTCGATTTCAGGATCAAGAGGAAGGAGATTGTTTGCGCTTCTACTCTTCCACATTCAAGAGAAGAGCCTGCGTTATCACAAATAAAGCAAACTAAAAATTAAAACTTGAAAAAATAACGAATAAAAGCTTAACTTATATAAACAATCAATAACTAAGTCCTCGGCAATGGCGCCAAAAACTTATTGCGACCAAACACACACGCAAGTATACATGGTCGTCATGTAATAAAGTGATTCGAAAGTCGGATGTCGAACCCACAAAGACTTAGATCAATTTTTAACTAAGCAAACTAAAATCAGTTAATTGTCCAAGGTAATAAATAGTGATGTTTTTCTATTAATCTACTATTGCGGAAATTAAACAAGTAACAACTAATTTAACAAGAATGCAAATGTGTATGATGAGATCTTAATTCAGAGGAGATAAAGATTTTAGGATTGTGGTTGGTTTATCAATCCTATTAAGTTCACTAATCACACTCGTTAATCCATATTATCTATGGTTGCTAATTAACCGGATCATTTATATGAATAGCATGTTCCCATAATACTACTCGCCTGTCCACAATATATCAATCCTATATTCCTATGGTATTGAGTCTATCATGAATGAATATAATACGGTGTTCAATTAAGCAAGATTGTTAGGTATATTCCTATCATAACCGCAAAATCGTTCCCTGAGCCACGGGTTCAGAAAAAAGTTCTCTTTAATTCTACTCTAATCTAAACATGACTTTCCCAATCATAGCATAGATATAAGGGTGAGTTGGTAGCTACAATAATTCACAAGTTAAAACTAGAATTAAAGAAACAACCACATGATGAAAATCCGAATTAACAGAGATGTAATTAATAAACGTTAATAATCATGTCAACCACAACCCTGGAAACTTGAGTTCTTAGCCACTCATGTTCGTAGCAACAATTTTCCAAGTATTATGCATAACAAATTACAAAGAAAGGATTAAGGAATGAAGAACTCGATGATTTTCTCCTCCAAGAATGTTCCCAACGTCTTCTCCCCTTCAAAAGTCACGTTCCTCCTTCACAAGTCACGTCCCCCCCTTCACAAAAGTGAGTTTAAAGACTATTTATATGGGATAGGGTTAGAATGGGGTGAAATAATACAAGCCCACTTCAAAACAACCTTTTTAGATTAGCTCGTTCACTCTCTCGTGCGCACGCGAGAGTGAACTAGCAAAGTTCATCTCTTTTTCTTTTTCTTCTAGGTTTCTCGTGCACCTCCATTCCTTTTTGCTATACTTCGCTATATTTTTTCCAGGCATTTCCTCAATAGCTCGTTCACACTCTCGTGTGCACGTGAGAGTGAATGAGCAAAGTCCTTCTTTTGTCTTTTGGTCATGAATCAACTTCTTTTGCTCACATTTCGCCCAACTTGCTCCTACACATAAGAATGCACGTAATGAGCATAATTCACTACAAAAAATCATGTAACCTACCATAACCACACAAGTTATGAGATGAAAGTACACCGAAAAATATGCATTTTTGGCCGTTTATCAATCCGCCGACTAGAAACCTCGGACGCGTCCTTCGGCCCTTTCATAAGGCAAAAATCGACCTCTAGCATATCGTTGATTTGTGTCGAAATCATCCTTTGATTTCTCCTTATTCTTCTCCCGGTTCCAACCCTTGGTTGATGCTGGGAAACCGAGCTGGTCATCCTTAATTCTTATATTCGACTCATACCGGTTGTGAACATCCGCCCATGTTATTTCCTAGAACTCAAGCAGGCATTTTTCTTGGCAGCGTCGAAACTTCTCAGATTCAGCCCTTTAGTAAATGCTTCAGCCGCCCATTCATCCGGTACGACCTGTAACAGCATCCGTTCTTTCTGGAATTTGGTTATGAACTCCCGCAGTAATTCGTACTCTCCTTGCGCAATCCTAAATATGTCAGTATTTCGGGCCAGTACCTTCCTGGCCCAGGCATGGGCCTTGATAAAAGAATTCACGAGCATCTCAAAGGAATCTACTAAGTACTCGGGTAAAAGTGAATACCATATCCGGGCCGCTTTCGTGAGGGTCTCCTCGAATTTCTTTAGTAAGACTGACTCAATCTCGTGTGGAGCTAAGTCGTTCCCTTTCACTGCCATTATATAGGTAGTGATGTGCTCTTGAGAATCCGAAGTCCCATTATATTTCGACACGTCTGGCATCTTGAGTCGCTTCGGGATCAACTCTAGTGTCGCGCTCGGTTTGAAAGGCAATTGTGTGTATTTCTTGTAGTCTGGTCCTTTCAATACTTGCAGTGCACCCGGAATTTGATCCATTCGGGCGTTTATTTTCCTCATAAACCGCATGAGTTCGTTTTTAAAGGGATCATTCTTATTATTATTACCGGATCCGCTATCGTTCCCCCTATCCCTGTCGAAGCAGACTTTGTCCCTCGGGGCCTATGCGTTGTTTGGTCTGCGGGAGCACCAGAAGGAACCGGACCTCGTCCATTTTTGTTGTTGGAAGCGCCCGACAATGCCTGCCTGATAAGTGGGGATTTCGACTACTTATTAGCGCCTTTTAACTTTTGTTTTAATCTAACAGCATTGAATTATACTCCGGGAACTAATAAAATTGTACAAAATATTAGGAATGCTAGAATTTGGGCTCCCGAGATGAAATCCGACTCAAAAAAGGAGTAGTGCAAGCACAAGGCAACAAAGGGCACAGAAGCACACAATGTGCGGTCCACAGAAGAAATTATGGACCGCAGAATTCCACCTGCGGCCGCAAACAATGAAGGAAAACTCAACAGATATTTGTACAAATTGCGGACCGCACATGAATTGTGTTGCCGCAAAAGCTGGGCTAGGATTCAAGATCGGAGAGTATGCAAATTTTCAAGTCCTGAG